GTAGTAAAAGAGGCAAACGATAGCAACAAACCGCGTAGTACAATTATGGCACGGGTATCTTGAGATTATAAACTCGACAGTACTACAGCGTACGAGCAATGGTATATGACTAAAATGTTAATAGTTAGTGTACTTCTATCTGAATATACCGGAACACTCTGTAGTATGATTGAAAGTTACACTTGGATGCCCTGCGCAGTCCAATTCACTTCTTATTGCAATAGTTCATTTCCGTCAATAAACTGTGATAAAAACGAACGCTCTCCGGCTGTTTTTCAAATTGTACAGTGACTTTTATTAACATAACATAGCATTACTTGAGAAATTTTAAAAATCAAACCCCGGGATTGCGATACGAAAGGTGAAGTTTTGAGCTGCTAGTTAAACACGTGACATATTTATTTATTTTTTTTTTTACATTAAAGAGGACTGCATAGAATAGACTTAACTCTGTTCTTTGACAATTTATAGAAAGAAATTACACGAATGTAAAACTAACTCGACACTACCCCCGCTATTGTCTTACCATCATCGGGGGTTCAACAGATATTTTGCGGCCATCAAAAGCCTGAGAAGCTCAACAAAAGAGGCGATTATACTGACTATCAGGCATCCGACCTGGCTTTTTGTCGGACATTTCGACATGTTGCTATCACTGCTAGTACAATCAAATCTCAGGTAATATGTCAAAGCGATTGTCGGTGCCGCACAGAATTACTTTCCGTTAATTTGGACGTAGGCTGTCGCTATATTCAGCCCTATTCTTTTCAAATATGGATGCAAAAATACAGGTAGTTCTATAAATTATATATATATATAATTAATCATAAAGTATCATCGTTATTTTGATATTATTATTATTAGCAATATAATAAATCAGCAATACCTCATTCGTCTCATTAGTTGTTATTTCAAATGCTTCACTTCGAAGCATTTTTTTCTAAGCCAGAATCCGCAACTGTAAAGTTGTCGGGCTAAGTTTCCGTCTTCCGCCTGTTTCTCTCATTTGCCTTTCGAAGCGATCGACTTGAGCTCAATTCTAAAATGAGCCATGTATGAGTTCAGGGGATAAAACGCCGTGGATCCTCATCATTCTTCCCCTCCGTCCTATGAAGCAATGCGAGAAAACGGTGCTACTCAAGTTTATTGTGGAAGAAACACCAGTTACGAGTCGGCTGGCTACGAAGAAGATGCTCACTCAAGATGTGTTTGGTTTGGATTATACTGTTTCGCTACGTTAGGATCGACAATTCGCGGCCCCAAAGAAGCAGCAATGCCTGGACAATGCAACACCCCGGTCAGCCGACCAGTCGAGCTCTTCAGCAAAAACATTGCCACCCGTGGCAACTTTCATTGACTTCACTGGAACACTCCTCAATCTCTGCACGTTCTTCGAATGAAGTAAACCAAAGAACCGTTCTCCGTTGTTTTAAAATTTCCGTCCCGCAGATCTTTGCAGTTGCGCAGTAACAAAGCGTTTCGGAAGCCGCGTTTCCATGATACGAAGCTGACGAGCTGAACTCGAGCAGTAGCCTGGCAAACCGTTAGTAGAACCCCGCTAGTAGGTGTTCCGAACCAACGACTACCCCCGTCCACCAACAATTGTGTTTAAGCGTACGTTGCGTCGTAACCTTCTTGCAGCCTTGTGCGCGATAAGGGTCGCGCACATATCAGATTAGGAGAACGATCAGGATACGAAAAGGAGCAAGGAGCATTCAGGAGGTCATGAATATATTCATGGACAAGCATTGCCAGAGGCGCGTCATTCGTTCTCGCGGCTTGTTATGGGGACAAAAGGATACACATCAACAGGACGCGGAGGGAGTAGTCCAAGGATAATGTTGGAAGATGTGAAGCTAAGAGGAAGGGTACAATACGAAGGGGAGGGAACTCACTAGTGGAAAGCGCGTGCATTAGAGGATACCATTTCTGTGGAAAGGGAAACAGAGCCGCACTGCGGAAAACCATTCGGTCGAACTCTTGTCCCATAGAGGCCATAACAACAGACAACAGCAACACCGCTGTCGCTCTAGCAACGAGAGCTAAGCACCGGGAGAGTTAGCCAACCAGCCAGCTACCGGCGATCTTCAAGCGGCGTAGCGACATTTGAGAAATCGCCGAATCTAGCATTTCAGATAAGAACCCATCGTTACCGCCGGCGTGAGTGTAAATATATGCTCTATAGCCGTACCGTACATGGTTACTATACTGTGTTCATAAAATTACCGCTAATCAATACACCTGCAGCTAAGGCAGCGTTGTGAAAAAAAAAAAAAAAAAAAAAGAACAATGGATTACCGAAACTTTGCTCTTGTTGATTTGAACACTCGAGCAGCTGATATCTTCCGTTGGAAAGGTCATGCCTCACGATGTCGCCGTGACACCCAATCTGCTAGCAGAAGATTGGAGCTTATTACTGGTTAGCTGGCGGGCAAGTTGGCGAAAACGACGGACCAGGGTCCAAAGCAGCTGATAAATAGATAGTGACGGTATCAGTACTCTAATCAAAAGGGCGCATAGAATTTAGCTTTTGAATAAATCAGCGGAAAATTGATTGATTTTTAAATCGTGTAATCGACAGTCAGTCAACAGATTGAAATTGTGGACTTTCGATCGTGAAGGTGGTAGTACGATTTCATGCGAAACCGGCTAGGGTAGGCGTAAAACGGGGTTGCAATTTATCGTCTACGGGACGAGCGACATGACCGGACCTCGAGTAAGTGTTTGGTATAGAAAAAAAACTCTTTATTTGTACATCAAATTGAGTTGTTTTGCAGATAGACCGGCTTAATAATCACATTGCTATCTGATGCGCGATTTACAGTTTCTGTGTATTCTAAAGATTAGTAGTTGGTAATGCCTACGCCGAACTATATATATATATAATTTTTGAGCGCGATAATATTGATGTTGTAACGCACGGTACCATATAATACGCTTATAGAGATTGTTATTGCAATCTTTCCATATGCATGAAAAGGGAACCAACTCTTATTAGATCATAAATATTTCGAGAATAATTCAAAGCCGTCTACGAGTATACACGACGCCGAAATCATTATCAAAACAAGCCTAACTTCCCTGAGGAGATGCCCAGTTAACAGATTCGTAGGGAAAATATGGCAGCAAACCCTGTAACTTTTTTTAGCCCTCACAGCAGGGACGGGGTGAAACGAGTGATTTTATTTTTACCAGCCACCAGAATCACCTAACACCGGGTTCACAGGAAGAAATCACGGATCGATCGAAATTAGCATCTCTAATTACAACGAAGAAGGTCGACTACTCGGAAGTGGCTATTTCTAGCTAATTCGCTTGCTGCCCTATAGATATTCAGGTGTTATATGTAAACGTAACAAAATATTTTCCAGTTACGTTATGGACCTTTGTTCTAACCACAAATCATGCATAGGGAGACCTACATCTTGGTAAATTTAACACGTTTCTAACAAAATGCATTTTGCTAAATCCGTATTTACCCTCGTAAGTATTCTTTAGCATTATTTTCATCTTAATGCGATTACTTGAATTATTAAAGGGTCTTATTCGAATTTATGCATCGTCGCAAAGTAATATAGATCGAACCAAGCGATTGCTGCCAATGTAAGTAAGTATCTCTTGCAGAGGATCAACACGCTCCCGAATTCCCTTTACCGCGACGTTCAACAAGTGCCAGCTAGAGTTTTGTTGTACCGCTAAGAGCCTTTCGCGCGCTTCCAAACTTCCGTCCGAGTCTGGCTTTACCACGAAGGTAGCGGCAGCGGCGCAAACGCGGCATGTGGCCTTTTTTGTCCAGTTTCCGCTCTTCGTCGCTTCCGCGGGTTAAACGCAACGCCCCAATGATTCCATGAGTCCAGTTTTCGACTAGACTCAATTGTGCTTTGGGGAAGAAAAAAGAAAGGGTAAAGCTTGTCGAACGGAGTAGAGTACGGTCGTGAGCACTGTAATACCAGCAGCAGCCGCCGTTGGCTGTTTGGAGCATTGTCCAATACGGAACAACAGGACAGATACGGCAGCTCGCCAGGGAACCCAGCTAACTAGATCCAATATGTTGTATAAGTTCTCAAAATCAAATTTTCTGGTACCGGGTAGTGTTGTTTGGCTTGGTTTTGTACGGGATTGGGCTGATTCAAGCCTGAGTTAGTATCGTCGGCCTTTGACCTTACTAAACACGAAACAGCAATGCGCAATGGCCGGAGCGGCAGGTTGGACGCTGTCAAGACCCATCTACATCAAACTCAACTTACGCCAATCATTAAGAATATAACCCAATAATAACACTAGCTTTCGTCTTCGCCTTCACAGGTCGACAGCAACGCGAACAACGTGAACGCTTGTAGGATTGTTCGCCCAAGGCAAGAGCCATTCTGTCTAGTAAGGCTAGATAAATATTTCAACTTTCAGTTCCGGGGCCGCTGCCTTAACCGAGCATTATATCATACGGCTGGTAGTCCATTTCAAGACGAAGCGAGCCGTGTATCTACGCCCGATTTGAACCTAGAACATCTCAATGTTCGCACTGCACCGCGGCGAAGGCTACGTGTTAGTGCTAATTTTAATTAACCATTAGAAACGGAATGAACTATACCGCTCACGTTGGCCCTTACCCGTTACCTATGTTGAGACTAGAGAAACGCTAAGTCGTTTCCGTTTGCCTGCCAGGAAAGTAAGCCCGTATATGATTACAACCATATGAAAGAGAAAAGAGCCAAGACGCCCATGTGATCTTCGATGTGGGCACCAATTGCTCCGCACAGATTAACGTGAACAGTTTACCATGTGCTCCGTGCTCCGTGTATGTGACTGTGTAGACTCTGTTGAGTTCCTCAGATCCTATACTAAATAGCTATGCAGTGACGGTATGTGCAGACCTATCCGGTTATCACCACCATTGAGGGTAACGCTGGCATGGAGAAAGTAAGCAGCATTGGCAGCGTTTACCGAAGGTCCTGACGGCTGAGGGCTGTAGAGGCGGAGGGCACGGAAAGCTTTACGGCGAGTCGACCATACAGAAAGGAGCCACAAGGAAGGACATCGCCGCCTGCTGCTAGCAGCTGTCTGGCTAGTTAACTATAGGCAACGAAAGTAACAACGGTTCTGTCTGTGGGTCCATGTGTGTGTCTGTGTGAACGTGCGGCCTAGCTGAAACGGCCACCAAGGAGGCGTGCTCCGGACGCCGCCATATGGCCGCGGCTGTCGATATTTTACTGCCAGCTTTAGTGTTATAGTAACGTGTAAAGAACATCAACGGCGACAGTGGGACGCCGTCTGATGCTTCGTTGTTTTATTCGGTTTCGTGCGTCACGTTGAATCGATGGTTCGTATTAGACAACTCCGGCCCAAGAGTGCACATCGATAGTCATTGTCGTAGGCGATATTATTGAGGATTAGCTGGTAACGTGAGTGAACGACGAGAATTACCGACCAGCTGACAGACGTTGTAGATGCGGTGAACTCGCGACGTAGAATCTACCTGTATATTGGTCTATTCTTACCTTACGAAGACGACAGAGTTCTTATTTCATAGTGACTTCAGTAGTTGCTTGGTGTAACTTCCGTTCGTCTGAAGTATGCGCTGTTCGGGTACAAGAAAAAAGGCAGGAAAACTGTGTAGTCAGATTGTCGTTAGAGCAAGGTGATAATGAAATGTTGTCTATTACTAGTAGCCAAACACATGAGTTCCACTGATTGACGGCTATCGTTTACGGTGAGTGGCGCCATGGAAGGTCGAGAAACAATCTAACGTGGAAGAGTCCTCGTGAAGAAAACAAACGGCTGGAAAAACGTTTTTCGTAACGAATACACAACGAATTGCGTCATGGCGTCAGAATACATAGTGGCTTGAGAGTGATACTACACCCAAAGGTTTTGGCGTCAGCATTAGAGAACGCTCAAGAGGCCCTGAGCCTGGAAGACGTTTACAACGCATAAAGGCGGTAAACAATTTCTTAACTGTAGCAATGAATATTTCTACAAAAGAGCAAACAACAATAATATGTTAAAAGTCTAACAAACAAGTAAAAATCTATACAATAAGTAACAATCGAGTTCGTACGATGTTCATCCGTCTGTACGAAACTGATTGGTATCTTTCTTAAATCATTACCTAATCATCGTACAATCATTTGAATTAACGTTGAAACAGCTATTAGGGCAGGATCTAGCTTAATTTTGCTGCATTTTTTCGAGGATACGGACGTCCTAGCTGTTAATGCTGATGAATTTACATTTACAAGTGAATCAAGCCCTTTCTCAGGCTTCTCTACAGGTTCTAGCCAAAATAAATAAGTTAAAGCTTCTAGATCAGTGACAATTTTTTTTTCGAACCGCAACTGTCTCGCTGCTAACTCTTGTAAAGGCGCTGAACATTTTATGCTTTCAAAATATCCTAAACGAAACCCAAACTGTTACTATCTACTGTTGCTTTGTCACGCCTGTCCACAGAACTCAACAGCATCAACTAGGAACAACTCGACCAAACGAGCAGGAAAACAAGTTATTTCATCAAACAACGTATTTTACGTTGGTCGTCACGCAACGGAGCTGTTGCGGCCGCGTTGTCAATTTTGTCGTGCCGTGCAAATAATTCCATTCACCATAGATTTCTTATTATGGTAAGGGACCTCTATCTTTGTTCTTATGATAGCGAAATAAACAAGTTAGGAGCAGATGCGGTTGATTGGTAAAAAAAAACGACAAAATTTTCATCTCTTTTCGCCTGGGTAGTCTCCGTTCTCACACCTATGCCCAGCCCAACCCAGCAGTGACCGGCGGCTGTATTATGGCTATACGGCCCTGTATCTCTTCTAGCTTAACTATGAACAATGGAAAACCTATTTAACGCGCATAGCAGTAGTTATCATTCGTGTTTTTTTTTCATTAAGGGTTAGTGAACTGCTCTGAGTTTATTGCGTGTATGTGTGCCGGTATTTATTTTCAATTAATTATTTAAGAAGTGTTCTGCCTTAGCGCAGCCATATCTAGAGGCCGTATAACAAACGAGTGCAATCAAGCTAACAGTTACAAAGGTCATCGTCACAGTGACTCTATGTAACACCGCTCTATAGTGGAACAAGGGTTCCGTGTCATCCTTTGTTGAATTAGTTCGTTTTTACGTGCTGTGGGTGCGCCGAAGAAACCTCCAAAACTGATCAAGCTTGGCTCGTGAAATCCATCACTGATCGCTTTACGACCAGGTTCATCAGTTCGCCAAGCTAAGTTTGCAATCTACTTTTATTCATAGTAGCAGTTACAATTGCCAAGTTAAATAGAAAGAGTTTATGGGTAAATACTTGCGTAGAACTTCTGAACCTTTCCCCAATAACAATCGCAAGGAGGGAGCAAACAAAAAGTAACTGCGACGCGGATCACAGTACTCACGCCAAAAACAACGGACAACAAAAAAACCACGTCCTACAATAGTATACGCACTGTTTATATGAACTTCACTACTAAGTAGTAACCTTTTTATAACCTATATAGCACAGTTACAAGGTCTTAAGACGGCGTTTCACCACAGGTCACCTCATGCAGATTCCCGCAAAAAAAGCGTCATAAGAACCTTAGGAACCGGAAAATGTAAAATAGCACTTTCGTAGGTGAACGAAAGGAAAAGACATTTTTAAGCCTATATATTTGTAGTCATTTAGTTTGAACTTGTACAATGAAAAGAGCCGTTCGAGTCAATCCTGCTTTCACTTCTTTTCCGTCAATATCGAAGCCGATCGGTTAAAACATCGAAGAACCACGTTGCTTTCATGTAATTGCCACATACATAGTCTGTTATTATTATTATTATGATGCCTGAGAGCTTGAGTTTACTTATCTGCATTACCTATGCACACGACGAATTTTACCGTGGTTATAATGGTCGCAGTAGTAATTGCGTGATCGATATCCGTCGTTCTATTTTTTTTGCTTTATTTTTGTTTTTGAAAAATTTGCCATTGCGACCACCTATAAATAAGACCAACGATTTCTGCTCCTACTGCTGGTACTGCTTACGACTCAGCTGATGATTCACTCTAGGGTACACTTAATGATTCGAAAGAAGTTCAGTGTCGCTCACACGTTTCATGCCACGGATATCCTAGTGGAGAGGAAACGTGGGAGGTTGCGGCGACGGCACGGCTGCCGGGGTATGATTGGGGCAACTAAGGAATCGAAGCTGTCCCTTTTTCGACGAGCTATCATAGCATTGCTAGGGAGAGAAGGAACGTGAACTGGGCTTGTTGTCGTTGAAGATATTTTTTGATACTGTCTCTTTCCTAGACGTAATTAGGTTGAATAGGAAAATTGGGATGTGCTACCTACGCGCGGCAGCATGAAACGAGAATCGGCTTTTAGGCTTACAGATAGAACGAGAAGTTCCGGCCGTGTGAATTAAAAAACGATAGATTTATATAGTTTATGGCTTGCGCAGCAACGAGATATTAGGATGACGAGCAGGTAGTGTAGTAACGTAGAGAATAATATGGCATATAGTAGTTTATGACGAATTGGCGAGCCAAGCCGGCGTAGGGTTGGAGCGATGGGAAAAAAAAGCGTGGCGGGCGGTTAGAAAGATCCTGGGATAATTTGTACCGTTTCGTTTGAAATCGATGTTAGAGTATCGTCGCGCATAAGGCTGACGTCGTATGGGCGAGTACTATTGGAGTCCTGTTGTGCAACCTGCTAAACGTAACATTTTTCTGATTTAACATTTTTACATTAAGGCCTTTTTTGTGAAATGGCTAGAACATAAAAATCTGACGGAGTATGATTATTGCACACAAACTTAAGGTCGCTGTTGGATGTAATGGTAATAAAATAATGTCGTAATAGGCCGCTTTTCTCTGTCTGAACTACAGCGTCCCGCATATAAATTGCGTGATAAACTTGCTTCACGATATTTGGGTATGATAACTGAGTCCGTTCATAAGTTCCTTATTTTTACTAATATTAATATTCCAACATCGCGTTCAATTTATAGATCCAATGCTCATAAATGTTCATTGCATCGTTGCAACTAAGAAACATAAATTTATTTATACTGATCCTGTATGGGTAGACTGAAATCTATATCGACGATTACCAATGCTGCTACTACATAATACTAATAAAATCGAAAAGTCGATGCTCCTTGTTTTAGGAGGTGGAAACATGCGCGAGTTTTTTCAACTAGTAATATTTACAAAAATACGTTTGGTAACTTGGAAGTTGAAAGGCATAGGAAACGTTTCGATTAAGCAATGTTATAGAAGCTTGAATACGGACAACTCCATCGTTGAACGCAGGTATCGGTTTTTGATGTCTAGAAGTAACAGCCTTAACATACACAAGCCTAGATAAGCATTGTTTTTGGTATCAAGATATTTTACTGGTTATGGAGATCTACCGCTTTCGACCAGTCAAATAGAGCCATATAGAGTTTCTGTATATCGTCGGGCTTTATCTGTGTCCCTATGCTTTTTAGTCATAATCGTACTTCCGCTGGAGGAAACTGCCACAAAAAGGAAGCTGCTAACAAAGTGAGCAACTAGCTCTCGTACTCCTGACTAGGATCGCTGTTGCAACTCCATGCTCTGAATGCAGTTTCGCATTATCGCCGTCATGCATGGGTCCTGGGCCTATGTTTGGAGCACTGCATTCTTAAGTTGTGAGATTATCGTGATCTCCTGTTTGGACCTGGTCTGCCCTTTGACACGATGTCACACGTTTTCTATCGACGACGAGTCGAAAATTTTTCCTAACTACGGCAAAACTTCAACACCGTTATCGATAAATACCTTCTTCCTTAATAAACTTCACCATATGAGATAGGGATTCATCATGCACGAGCGCACGTCTGCCAGCCGAAAACCATTCTCGTATTTCGAGCAGTATTTCACCCTAGGTTACCTCCTGCTGGCCCCGCTTGCTCGGATGTTCGATACGTTAAATTGCGCAGGACTTGTGAAATATTTTGCTGACAGAAAGTATTGAGCGTTATTATCCATAATCCAGAAACGCGATTCATCTGAAAAACAAGTCCCTTCTTAGTCTTGAGCTGACCAACTTTGGAACTATCTAGAGCATTTGAAACGCGCGTAGTCCTGATCACAGTTCAAGCTCTCCTTTTCCGCTAGGTAACTAAAACCATTGATTTCGAGACGGAAATTAAAGAACGGTTATTAACACAGTAAGCTCGAATTTTGCTACGTTGTAACACAATTGAGAGATCGTTAAAAACCGGTAAAAAATTGGTAGGAATGGCCCTCTCTCTCTCTCTCTGCGTACTGCATGTTTGTAAATTCCAAGGGGCAGAGAAAGCCTGTCAACTGCACACTTCCGATTCACTCCAGAGTTTCTGTTCGTGAGTGTTTCCTATTCTTGGAATCCGCTGTTCCTCAGTGCGATCATTTCCTACTTCCACTATAAGTTCTGTCCATGCATAGTCAGTCACAAAAAGGCTGAAATCAATAAGATTCACTTTAAAATAACCTGCATTCGTAACAAGCATCGAATAGGTAGCAATGGCGGCAGTTGAGGTACTATATCTGGAATCACTTACCTCTAAGAGCAAACTACTTGTGTGTAACGGCTCGAATATTTATACGTAGTATAATAAGCAGCCATTGTAGCAGGCGCGTCGATAAGCGCCGCTTCCATTATGCAGCAGCAGCAGCTTGAATATGCTTCCGACATGTTAGTACATAGCGTATCGTTAGACAGCAGAGAGAGGCAGGGCTATAGGTAGGCAGGCAGGCTTCGCTGAAAGATTATGCAGGTAGTTGGCGCATGAAATTGTTTTCAACTAAACTCGACCGTGTACGAAATTTCCAGATGGCCATTTGATTAACTAATTGTGGGGAACATGACGATACGCGGTACTTCGAATTATCGGGGCAATACGTTAGCAGATTTTCCGGCTCTGCTACATTAAATGTCTACCTAATACCTTCGATTTTTTCGATATAATGCAGGCACAGTAGTAATTGTGATTTCTAGTAAACGATTTCGAGTCGAATAGACACTTCCCTTTAGAAAGTACCTGCTCGATTATCAAAGTAGCTCAACACTAAGTTATAGTTTCGTTCCTAGGAGGACGACAATGTAAACAGAAACCTTTATGCGTTACCTGTGCCGATGAGTTCAAATCAACCGGTATTTATAAGATAAATACGGGAAAATGTCTGTCTAGCAGGATGTTTGCTTACGTAAGTCCTATTGTCTCCAAGGTGTATAGGATACTGTATAGATGGAACATCACGTTAACCTATGCGGAGTAAACAGAAGACCTACGGAAGGCGGCACAGAAAAGATTAAAAATAGCTGGAATTACCCATTCTCGTTAGGATGGTTGGTGCTATCGGTGTCCTGCAAACGGTATATAATATAGTTACATATATACAACATTATCAGAGTGGTGTTCGTGGTAATCACGTCGAGTTATCCAGACGAATGTCATACACATGACACGCTTGTCTCCAACAAACAATAAACGGCAACATAGAATAGAACAGAATGAATATTTGATAGCAAACCTAAGGAGGAATATTAAGTACATACGCAGGGAATGCTGCTTAGTCGGGCCAATCAATCCAAAAGCTGTGTAACTTCGGAGTCTCTGATAAACTAATGGAGCACCGAAGAT